CGCGTGCCAGGCGCTGGATGCGGGAGCCGCGTTGTAGGGGTCGCTGAGCAAGGCGACGTCGATTCTTTGTTCAACCATGAATTGCGCGACGAGGTCTTGTGCCACGCGGCAATGGTTGAGGTTGCACTGTATGAAGTTGAGTCCCATCACACAGCTCCACTTTCTTCTGCGAGCTCCTCACAGCTTGAGGTTGAGGGCTGCGACTGCTGCTGCTGCGCCTGCTTCTGCAGGGCACAGTCCTTCGCCAGGTGGTCGTCGGCTTTGCACCTAAAGCAGCGGCGGGACTTGGCCTCGTTCCGGCACTCGGCACTAAGGTGACCTTTGCCTTGGCAGAGGAAGCAGGTGGGCTGGTTGCTGGCCAACAGTTTCACCCTGCACCTGGTCCACTCCACGGTGACCGCTTTCTTTTCCGCAAGTGTGATGGCGTCCTTGATCGGCAAGTGTAAGCTCGCGACGAACTCCCCTCTTCCACCAGAGTTCTTGCGGATGGTCACGTGCTCTGAGGTGACTCCGGTAACTCCCGCCTGAGAGACGCCGGCAACGACGCTCTCTGCCTCTGCCCATTCAGGAATTCCCAGCAGTAAAATTTGCGTACGAGGCTCGGGTATCCTGACCCTGGCCGCATCTCCTACCACCTCCCGGATCTTCCCAGCTAGCAGTGTAGCTTTATCGTGTCCCTCAATCTCAAGGAGAATTCCTCCCACTCTAGTCTTCCTCGTCGTCAGGACCTTGACGCCAAGAGACTGGAGGTTGATCGAACTCGATATCTTCCTCATCACGGAAGCTAGGGAGCCTCCTTCCGCCGGCCGGTCAATGGTGACCGCCATGGATCGCAGAGCCCGCTTCCGCAGGAGAGCCACTTGGTCGGTGGTCGAGCGCGGTTGTTGGGCCGGCTTCGGTGGCTTCCTTTTCCTAACGACCTCGCTCCAGGTCTGCTGCTGCTGGGGTTGCTGCTGCGGTTCCTGCGGCTGTTTTTGCCGTTGCCGGGGCAGATCATGTTGCTCTTGCTGTTGGGGCTGCTATTGCTGCCGTTGCTTCACTTGGCGCTTCCGTTCCTGCTCAGATAGCCGTTTCTTCCACCTGCGTTGCAGCTGTGGCTGCCGCTGTTGGCTTGCTGGGTCCCGAGCCTTGGACGCATTTCCGGGCGGCAACGATTTTACATTTGCATCAGTGTTGGTGGCAGCGTCCCTGGTTGCCACAACATTCTGGCGCTTCTCTTCCG